ATATTAAGGGTATGAAGATTCTAAGTTTGAAGTTCAATGTCAATTCAATAATCTTCGATCTGCTAATGTTGTTATTTACTTATTTTGTAGCGGAAATGGAGGCTTAATAAAATGTTGTGAGAACGTTAAAATCAACACAAAATTTTTATACGTATATAAAAAAAGTAATGACAAGCAATCATATTTGTTCAGCAATTTTTAAATTTTTAATGATAATTATTTCCTCTAAAAGATCAAGTTCTGACAGTATAATATTATGTTGTGAGATAAGAATTATTTTTAGTAAATTATCAATATAATCAAAGATCATATGAAAATATTTACCATATGGAAATGACTAACGAAATTTTAAGATCCTTAAGAATTCAAGAAAGAATTAATATTGCTAACATTTTTGTTATTTCATTAATATTAATATGAATACATATGCACGTGTATATATTAAAATGTTATTATATTATATATGTAAATACGTAGAACAAATTTATGATTACGATGCCTTCATCAATCTTATATCTAAAAATTGATCCGAACAGAAGCCGTTTGTGATATGAGTTTTATAATTTTCTAATGTCCATTTAAGTATTTTATATTAAATATTATGTACAATTAACCGAACTGCTGTGTAATGTGCAAAAAACTTTTAAATTTCAGTAATTTCAATTGAATAGAAAACCTTTAGAAAATGAAAACTTTTAAATGAATTATGAAAATTTTCTCAAGCATATCCACTTTTGTTTTCCTTTTTCGTTTCTTGCTTGCAAAGAAATGGGAATACGAAATGAGCATAAACAGTTAATTATGTTTCAGTTTCATGTTTTTACATGCATATATATATAATCAAGACAATAGAAAAAGAGATTCATATTATTAGACAAATACAATAAAGAAATCATCAAAGGATATCTTAACTGTCGTTGGTTCATTGTTGTTTGTCTTAATAAACACAAAAAGTAGAGAACAAACTTTTCCCTCTTTTTACCATTATATTTGTTCTTTTCTTTTTATTTTCTTTTTTTTTTTCATGAAAACAGGATGAGATCTATTTAGGATCTTAAAAGAAATGAAAATTTTTTCTACCATAAGAATGAATTTCTTTTTGAAGACAATAATTAATTCTTTTGGTTGAGTAAATAATATTACACGAAGTCTGATCCTATCTGTCTTTATGGAAAATTAACTTGAAAAATTTTATTTGCATAATTAAAATAAAGAAAATTCTAAAAATGACTATTTATAATTGAGAAATGATTTTTAATTTTTGAATAATTATAAAGTTTTGTAATAATTGTGTAAATAAAATTTAAATGGATTATATAAGGACCTATAACAGTTTACTTTGAAAATAGGTTATTATCGGACAACACCGATCGGTTGACAATAACCTAAACAAACGTTCCACCGATAGGTTATTATCGGATACTGGTGGAACGTTTTTAAAATATATTTTAATTATTAGAAGAAATTTTCCTTATATAAATTATAATTGAAGATTTGCTAGCAAGCTTTTCAAAGTAAATTACTCACAAAAATTATGTTCAAGTTCAATACTTTTAAAATTATTTTACATACATGTGACTATTTTTATTGAACAGTAACCTACAATGTGATGAGAAATAATATATTAACAAATACTTCTGATAAATAATATAAAATAAAACAATTACGTAATAATATTTTCCATTTAATTAAAAATTTTAGTGATAGCACAACAGGCCATGCAGAAATAGTTTTTTCACAGAAAATTCCATAATATGGCGCCTGTATTTCAATTTTCATTTTAAAACGACACAAAAGCAAAAACAAAAGGAAGTTTTTCGTTCATAGGTTCGTTAGTTTCTCAAAATCTATGAAAATTGATTAAAATTGGTTGCCAAGTATCAGGCACATGATAAATAAAAACTAATCTGATCTTTAATCTAAATTTGATCTTCTTAAACGATCTACTCTACTCAAAAGGTGTAGGCTTTTAGTACTTTCCAAAAAAATTTTTGGAAAAAGGGCTTATTCGCTTCCCTCTGTCCGCCCGTAGATGTTTACAAAACTTTTGAACAACCTTGAAGATAGAAAATTGAAATTTTATACGTACATAGATCTTTACTAGAAACTTATTTCCGTAGAACAAAATTTTTACTTAACTGCCCCCCCTTTTAAATTTCTAGCCCCTCAAACCCCTAAAAATGTCGTTTTTCAACGATTTATTACAGCGAAATAAGCAATTTTCAAATTTTGCAACCGCAAAAAAATAGTGGTTGGCTTCTATTGCGCCATACCATACTTGAACTTTAAAAAAACAAAATGGCTGTTAAAATTTAACGTTATCTAAAACCCGTTTTTACCAAGTTTTTTTATATCGGTTTTCTTCTAGATCGAAAGGTTAAGGAGTCTGATATTTTAGAAGCTCTTAAACACTAATAACTAGTTCATTGCGTTGGCAGAAAATTTTTTCTACCTTCACGCTCTCTTAAGTTATTGTCTTATGAAATTTGTAAAATTCGAATTTTTGGCACCTTATGTTATATATCCGAAACTTTAAGCCTCTCCAAATTTCTATAAATGAAGAAAGCTAACGATAAATTCCATGCCACTAATAAATATAATTATTTTTCTCAACTCACGCACATAACCCGTAAATTCGAACATTATATTAAAGCCTCTTTAATTTTTTTTTGGTTTGTGTGAAAGTTTGAATACATTACTCATCCTAAACGTATGCAATTTTTGAAATATATTCGTATATGAATGAAAGTAATTTTAGCAATGAAGTACCTAGCTATGTCCTTCAGTCACTACCGGACGGAGTGGTTGCGGATGCTACAGACTATTGCATCCCTAGACTTGAGCTTGACAAGAAGTTTCGGGTTGAGCTTCCGTCTCGCGGGCAGTGGAAAAGAAATCTTCCACTGCAGGGCTTTGATGTTGCTCTCTTCACTGACGGTTCCAAGGATAGGAATGGGGTCGGTGCTGGAGTATTTTCAGAGACTCAGAACATATCGGAGTCATATCGCCTTCCCAACGGATCAAGCGTGTTCCAGGCGGAAGTATTCGCCATATGGAAGGCATGCGAAATCCTGGGAAGGGATTTGGTTGTGGCCCGGGAGGTCGCAATTGTGACGGATAGTCAGGCTGCGATTCTGGCTCTAAATTCGCCAAAGATATTCTCAAAGTTGGTAGGGCTTTGCTACGATGAGCTGACGAGATTGTGCAGTCATCATAGTATCACCTTACTCTGGGTTCCGGGACATAGGAACATACCAGGAAACGAGCGGGCTGACGAGCTGGCCAGATGTGGGTCGGTATTGGACGGCTCCAGGGCCGAGCGAGTTCTTGTCCCTATAAACACCATCAAAACTGATATATACCGCTTCCAAGTGGCATGTGCGGACCGCAGGTGGAGGGGCCTGAGCACATGTGCAACGGCTAGGAAGACGTGGCCGAAATACGACCATAAGAAATCAATGAGCCTCCTGGCGATGCCTCGACCGGACATAGCTAAGTTAGTGGCTGTGTACACGGGGCATTGGCCTGTGGGGGATCATGCAGCTAGGCTGGGAATTCCCTTTAATACGTCATGCCGCAGTTGTCGGGAGATAGACAAAAAAGAGACGCTTTTTCACTATCTCTGCGAGTGTCCGGCTCTTCAAGGGGCCAGGTTGTTGTCATTTGGGGAAACGGACATAATGGAACTGGGGAACATTTCTAATAAAAGTATCGGGGACGTAAATAAGTTCCTTAAAAGAACGGGGTGGCTCTGATCGCTGGCCCTGGACCAACGTACTTTGACAACCGGGTTTCACGAGGCGGTGGTAGCTAAACGGCACGTCGGTGCTAATCGGGGTGTTGGCCAGTCGGGTCGCACCGGCCACTCTAACCAACCAACCAACCGAAGTACCTAGCTGATTGTTCTTAAAAGCAGTATTTTCACTTGTTGAAGGGAAAAGTGCTAAATTGCAAACCATTGATTTGACCATTGGTTTGACTCAACTGTATTAACTTAATAATATAGTTTAAAAAATTCTTAGGCGTAGTGTGAACTTTTATTTTATTGATCACATTTTAGCTGATAACTAGAATAGATTTTATTAAAATTTTCCCGTTTTAATTCTAATTTTTGTTAACAACCAAATTGTGTTTCATTATATGGTGGAAAACAAACAAAAGTTCAATAGTCTAATTATTTATTTAGAATTATTTTTGTTTTTTTATTTACATCACAAATACAACAAATGTACTTGCAGGAAAATACAGTAATTTACACATTTACATACATCCACATTTCATTATTTTTAGTTGAAAAATTAACACATTTGCCATTTAACTATGGATGATAAAAAATAAACACGAAATTCCCATTAAACTTAAGAAAATAACAGAAAAAAACAAAATAGTTTTATTCCGTTTAAATTTTATGCTACCATCGATTCTGATCATCGTAATACGGGCCCGCGTGATCGTATATAATTAGATTTGCAAATGTTTTGATTAGTAAAAATGAAATTTGCACAAAAATTGTCAAATTTTTTATGTATTGTAAAATATTTGGGTAAAAATTAAAGAAATTGGCAGTCTTTTTCTGTTTTCTAATCTAATACGATGTGTTAAAATATTAGCGGATAAAACTTTTGCAATTGATGTAATCAATATTTTTTTATATTCCTACATATAAATAATAATAAAACAAACTGTTAAATAGTTTCCTACATACCTACATTAGATCGAAATAATGATCTCAACTTATGGGTGACTAATTTCAATATAATAAAACTTTCCTAAAATATTTTTCTTAAAATTATAACTCGATTATAATTACTAAGTGAAAATTCAAAATTAACAATAAATTAAACACGAAAAGAACAACAGTAATTTTTTTACACTGAGTGGATTATTTTTTAAAAATATTCAAGTCTTTTAAGAATTCAACCAAAAATTTAAATTAAAACTAATTATTCTATTATTCTATTTGTTTTTTTTTTCTCTAAATTTTGAAAAACCAATTTCAGAAATATGAAAGCTACCGTATGGCTTTGGCCGGTTGTTACATTGATTTGTGCTAGTCCGTTTGTAAGTGTTTATGCCCAGCAGGAATATCAAAGTTACGCAGATTTTCCATCCGATAATAGTTTCAATCAGGTAAGTGAATATTGTTTAAATTTAAAAATATATAGATTACGAGTATTAAAAATATAATTAAAGAAATTTTTGTAAAGTATTACAATTAATTTTGGTAATTTGAGTGGAAACTTGACTTTCTAAGAGCTTAACGGAAAACAGTGTTTTATTAAAAGTATTTATACATTTGGGGTAGATATTAGAAAGAAAATATTTTATTTAAAAAAATTTCTAGTAGCGCAACGGTTAAAGTAACCATTGCACTTATTTCGAGAATGAAATTTTGTATAAATTTTGAGAGACGATAAATCAGAAGGGAAAAGAGGCAAAAAATAAAGTATTTATTAGTATGTACAACTTATTAAAATTTTAAACACTTTCGGGCTCTTACGGTAAAAAAATAGTTGTACATATATCACATATTAGGAAGAACATAGTTAAGTATAACAATTAATTTGAAAAGAAGATTTAACTAGTTGACATTTGTTACAATTCGTTGAAATGGAAGTCGCTAGCTTCCCGCTTTTACAGTCTTAGAAGAACAAGGCGTAACGAAAATGTAATTTTCTGCATTTTTAAAGCGAACATAGCTTGATGCATTTTTAAGGCTCTCTACAACTTGATAGAGATAGTAAAAGGGTGAAAACCTTATTCTAAAAAAATAATTTTAAGTTTTGTCACGAAAATTTAACACACGAAGGAACACACTGAAGACCAAATGGACAGAGCGAAATTAATAGTGGTAAATGAAAAAAAATTGAAAATAAAATCTAATGAAAAAGTATATAAAACGGTTTTGCAACACGAATCAATAGAAATGGAAACTATTATTAAAATAAAATTTGAGGGCATTGAAAATTGGTGTTCTTAATTTCAATCGTTTTTGAAAAAAAATCGATTTAATTTCCGTCGATGAGTGATTAAGCAAACAATTTTCGACATAAAATTTTTTAAAAGCAAGCGTATATTGATCAAACCGAAAATTTGGTGGTTAGTAAACCGATTAAAGTACTTGCTATAGTGAGAACACAGTTCACTTGACATATTTAACCTTAAGTTTGGAACAGTGATTTCCCAGTTTACAAGTTTTTCCTCAAACAATGCAATCTACAACAACCACCCGTGCCTTAATTCTTTCAAATTATTTATTCGAAAATTTTCCTTTGAAATCATGGACCCAATTTATTGGCTTTGTATTATATTCTCTGCACCAAATTAATTGTTTATTTTTATTTATTTATGAAGGACTTCTTTTTAGCTTATTAATGAATTTGTAATATTTCGAAACCGTTATTCTTCGCAAAATGAAAACTGAACTATAACGTGCATGCTTTGAACTATACTAACTGTGGTTAATATAAGAATTTGTAATGAATATAATGTTTTCTACATGTAACGGTTCTTCTAATTAATAACCTTTTTCGTTTGCCCAATCCCAGGGTCTTAAAAGCTTAAATATTTTATTGTTTTTCTTAAACGAAATTAATTTTTGCATCTCCGTCACATTAAATGTATATACAATATATATATTGATATGTATTCAAAAATATATATAAAATGCTTACGGTTTTTCTAATTTAATTTATAAAATTAATCATTCTGAAGGTGTGTAATAAATTCGCTTTTATTAAGATAGAGAACCATTAGTTTTATATAATATGTGTAGGTAAATATGTGTAGATAATACAATCATAAAAACGTTTTTGGAAACGCAACTCGCTATTAACACTATAAAGAGTAACACGTTATTCTCGAATAAGATGTTTATTAACTTGTTTAGTAACTTCAAATTTTACATGAGAAAAATTTGTCAAAGTAAAACATTCAAATTGCAAGTAAAACGAAAACTTTGCGTAAAGTTTTGTGATCCAAATTGTAAACTGAAAAATTTTTACAACGTCAACTGGTCTGACGTCAAATGATTAATAAACGCCAAACAAAAGCAAGAATAATCTAAAACGAGAAAAAAAATAGAGTTGACCTTGTCAACTCAGTGATACCCGTACGAATTTGTTATCCTATGTGCGAATAACTAATGTGCCATAACTAACTATGAGGCAGACTATGACTTTAAGTTGCCGTATTACCATATTAATTTATGCAAAATTTCAGTACAATGTGTTTTTCAAAATACTGGTTGTGACAAACTACTATTGAAGTTGTATGGCAGCTACCAGAAAGAGCCAAGAAATTTTAGCGAATTTTATCAAGCACATCGGCACTACTAATATATTCGCTTGTGTGAAATTTCAATACCACAGCTTTTATAGTTTCTGAGATATAGCCAAATAACTTTTGAAGTTGTATGGCAGCTACCCGAACCGGTACTCCGATCATGTCCAATTTAAATAGGGTTCTGGCACTTACTACAATAAATCATTTGTGAAAATTTGCTGAACTTAGCTTAATTCGTTTTTGAGTTATCGTTGAGACGGACAGACGGACAGGCGGATAGACGGACGGACGGACGGACAGACAAAGCTAAATCAACTCAGAATTTGACGCTGATCAAAAACATACACTTGAGTCTATATCTAAGACCGTTATTTCTTAGCGTTACAAAAGGTAAGGCAAATTTAGTATACCCTTCGAACATACGTTCGTACGGGTATAAATACATCTAAAAATTTGAATATAATTTACTTAAACTGTGCTTCTATATTTTTAACTTACAAAAATTTATTATTGATTGATGCAAAACATAATATAGTTCAGTCAAACCACAGTCAAAACAAATCTATTGTCATATTTGAATTACTTTCATTCATGACCAAAATATTTCAAAGGTTGCATTCATTTCGGATGAAACAAAAAATAAATTTAAAGAGACGTCAGCATAATGCACGAATTCAAGGGTGAATTACGTGAGTTAATAAAAATATTTACGTTTTTTGATGGTATGACATTTACCGCTATCTTGCGGCATTTATAGAAATTTGGAAAAGCTTACAATTTCGGAAATACATGGTGCCAAAAAATTGAATTGAAAATTTCGAGAGGCTGCAATTTCAGAGGGGGTGGAGGGAAAAAACTGTCTTCTAATGAGTCCTACATAATGTTGCCGTCTACAAGAAAAATGATAATAAAAATTTGACAAAAACGGATTTTGGATAGCGGATAATTTTAACGGCCATTTTTTTTAGCTATTCACGGTAGAGGAGGCCAGCCGCAACTTTTTAAAATTCAAAAAATGTTAAACTGAAAAAGTGAACTAATAAGTTCCTCTTTTCAAAATTTTTTTTTGAGAAGAGGTTAAAAATGTGTGTGGTGCCAGAATTGCTATCCTATTAGACGCGTAGAAGCTTTATACTTCAATGTATTTATGTAATTATATACATTTGTTTTAGTGCGGTATATAAACTGTAATAACACTTTGTTTTGACACGATTTGGATGTCATAACAATATTTGAAATTTCTTTCTCATCGCAAAAAGAAATTTAATTTAGTTTTTTTTGCTTTTATGAATTTTAAAATTACATTGTAATATTTTTGGTGTCGTATTTTTTAAAAGCACGAAATTTTATTAGTAAATTGCCGCCAAATGGGTTAGAAGAGCAATTGTTCAAATTGTACTAATGTTTCATGTCGAACGGGAGGCATTAAAATTGGCAAAAAGCTTAAAGTTTCTTATTTAGCAATACAAGTAGTTCTGCTAATAGGAAAACCATTTATGTGTATAAGCATTTCTTAAATAAAATAAGGGTAAAATAAAAAATCATAAGCTTTGTTCATAAAATATGTTTGAGTTTGTTGAAAAGAAACTTATGGTTTAAATTGAAAAATGGGCATCTACATAAAAAGAAAGAAAAACTCACATGGAATTGTTATAATTGATATACTGCACTCTTCTTCAGACACTTTTGAATGTTCAATCAATTTTTGAAAAAAATTCAAAATACTAGAAAGTAGTAATTTCCAAGAAATTCAAGATTCAGTAATTTTTTCATATTTAAAATTTTGATCAACTTCCTTATATTCCCATATTATATTATTTTCTCAGTAAAACTTCCAAAATTTTTAATTGAATTTTATTTTTAATTCATCTACATATATACATAATGTATGTAAAATTTTACAATTGCGGATAAGTGCGGTAATCCTGAATCATTATATATTTATTTATCATATAAATATAAATTGGACATATGAATGTATTATTTATGCGAACTTGTATAGTTAAAGGCTTTTTTAAAATATTATTTGGTAATATGTAAATTCATTTACAATTAAAAAAATTTTAAATTCTGCCTTTGTACAAATGAAAATTTGCTTCTTCTCAAAAGTAATATTAAAAATATTCAAAAAATTCCGTGACTTCAATAATGCGCTTAAGACGTAAAATTTTACAAAGTATCAAATTCCAAAAAGTTTACTAAAAGCTCTTGACATTGTACACTTTTCCAAAATGCGTTTTATACGTAATGGAGACGTAAAATAAAAGTAAATCGGGTATCGAAAAAATCGAGCACGCTTTTCTTATACCTTGTCATATAAATGTTACCAGAAATAACCGATAAAATAAACTAGCATATATTTTCAGCAATAAAGTGCTAGCTATCAAGTTTTTTCCAAAATAAAGCATAAGAATGCTATTTTTCCAGTAGTGTGGTAACGTTTGTTAGTTATACAAAATTTAGTGTCATTTGTCATATTTCAAATTCATAAGCAAAAAAGTTTTTTGAAAACATTCACGTATGTTATTTTTAAAATTTAAAATAAAAATGGAAAAAGAGCAGTAAGTTATACCTTAATTCATTAAATGTAATATTGATTTAACATTTAATTTTTGCAGTAATAAGAAATGGACCGTGGATAGGAAAAAATTATTGATTACAGTGAGGCTGAAATACGAAAGTGAATTCGTACCAAACTTTTTAAAAAATCCACGTTATGGAACAAAATATATAATGAGATCCTTGAAGTAGAACCGGATTTCCCATTCAATTCAATTGAATTATTTACAACAATATTTCCGAACACATTCATTTTTTTAAAATTAACATTTGCACAGAACTGTAAA